GAATTATTAAAATTATAAGAGGGTGCTTTTTATTTAGTTGAATATTTACGCTCGACTGGAAACGTTCTGAATTGATAATTTAAATTGTAACACAGCCAGGTAACATTGCTGCCTTTGTTGGGACCGACAGCGCCAGAATCCTGGCTTTGTTTAGACCTGACTATTGTACTGTACTGACAGTACTCAGTACTGTGTATACCGTTTTCCAGGTACTCGTCTTTCGACTTTCGACCCCATTTTTTTGCAGTAATATTAATAATGACAATGTGTATACTGTATACGGTATGTTATTAATGTATTTTAATTTAAGTTAAATTTATTTAAGGTAACTAGTAACTACTGTATACTTAGATGAATTGATATCAATTGACACTGGAGATGTTACCTCGCATTTTCATTTGGGTTCTGGGACGTTAGGCAGTGAATCTGGATTCCTATTTTGTTGTACCAAGGATTTCAGCAAATTACTTAACAGTTGCAGCTGCATTTTACAGTTAATTTAACTGTCCTCTGGTACCGAAGGGAAATATACATGACCTAAGCGGCCTTCTTACCGTCACCCTTCTACAAGATAAGCGATGCACACCAGTTTACTGTTTTCAGCAATTAGTTAGGTGTTGTGAGTTTATTTTAATCTCTGATGTGTATGTAGCTAAACTAAAATGTGTTCAAACCTTGTATTATAAGTATAACTGGGATATATAGATAAGTGTAATTTTATTTCAAATAATTGAGAAAAATAAACATTTTTTTAGGCAAAAAGTAGGTGGGGGGGGGGGGGGGGGAATCCCCTTACATTAAGGAAATATGGGAGAGAAGGTGGGGGAGTGCACCTCAAGCCCCCCCCCCCCCCACCCAACCAGGCCCTCCTCACCCCCCTAGGGTGAGGACATCAGACCTCAGTAAATTAAGAAAACGTCTTAGACTTAGTGGGAACCATGGTAAAATAATGGTAAATTCTTTTCTGTTGACACATCAGTCTTGGGGCCAGATTCGTACCTGGTGAATTTGGTTAAACATAATTGATATTGATCACGTCACCCATCAAGAGCTGTTCTATACAAAATATGAGTCAACAACCTTATGCCATAGGCGCTGATGGCAGGAAAAAGGGTCCTTAACAGACTAATTGCATTAGGTAATTTTTTTTTTCCAGGTGTCATGTTGTTTGACGATCACAGGTGATGATGATCACTATTTCTTCCATTCATTATGAAACTAAAGTTTACTGTTTATGAGTCTGGAGATGACTTGTAAACACAATACAGGCCTGAAAGAATCGAGGGTAATGGGAGCAGGGTCTTTCTAGCCTGTCTTGGCTGTTCAGCTGCCCCTTTTGTAAATGCCTTGCAAGTGGCTGCGCCTCTTAGGATTGTTGTTCACCATACAGTTCGGTGTTGTGCAGCAGCCTCCCAGGTGTCAGCATTTATACTAAATGCTTAAATTGATGTCTTTAGCATGTCATTGAAGTGTTGTTTTTTTCTTTTCTTTCTAGCGTCAGTGTTTATATTAAAGGCTTCAAGTGGCCTATACCATGTCCTAGAAGTGTTTTTTCAGGTGTCTTTCATATAATATATTATACTTGATTCATCGTAACATTTATATCCTCAAGGAACCCAATATTAAATAAGCTTCTTCTCCTTCTCTCTTCCTCATTCTCCCTCTCCTTCCTCCTCCTCCTCTTTCTTCTCCCCTTCCCCAACACTTTAGTTAGTTAGTGGAAAAAAGAAGAATGAACTAACTTTATTTTCAAAGGGTCTCAAATTGGTCACACAGGTCTGACCTACATTCAGCCCTTCCAAAACATTAATCTGTTACACAGTACTTATAGTTTATCTGTAAAACATGTTATGTTCGTATAATAATTTTCATATTATGGATTCACAAAAGCATGGGTGGTATGTGTAATCAGATGTACATGCACACACATTTACAACCTTTACATACCTACCCACATAAATGTAAATACACACACATATAGACATACATACCTACACAAACACACACTCTTACATATACAGACTATAGTACATACATACACTCACAGTCATTCATGCAGACACATTCCTACTAACATATACAAACACACACTTCTAAAGACACATACAAACACCACAGACACTTTTATATATCCTTACTTAGACATACTCATACGCATATATATATATATATATATATATATATATATATATATATATATATATATATATATTATATATATATATATATATGTATATATATGTATATATATATATGTATATATATATATATATATATATATATATATATATATATATATATATATATATATATATATATATATATATACACACACACATATAAAAGCGCCACGACGGATTGGAAAAAATTATAGCAGAAAGCATGGTACCAAGAAGGAGGGGCAGGGGCCAACCGACACGAAGATGAGCACAGGATATAAGTGACTCCTTGAGTGTGAAAGTGCATGAGGTGGGAGAGCTGGCGAGAGACCAAGTTTCTTTCAGGCAGCCGGTGATGAGAGCTACGTTCTGCAAAGGACCTGCTACATGATGATGATGACATGCATATACAATTTAATTGCGAGATGCTTATCTTGGGAGCTTTGAACCCAATTTTTGACTGCATTCAGCATACTTGGTAGTTGTTGCTGACTGCATTAATCATATTTACTGACAAGAGACATCAATCGGATCAGTTATAGTTGAAGATGTTTGTCGAACTTCTTCTTCTTCTTCTTTCGTTCGCATGAAATAAATTGTCTATATCTGCAAAGCTGTCTCTAGTATGAATTTCACTGTCTTTTGTAATTCACTAAGCGGCCCGTAAAGTTTGACTTCCACAAGTGTCTCTTTTGGCCAAAGGTTTTGCCTGAAAGCGTTGAATCTGGGACAGTCTTGAAGGATGTGATCTGTTGTTTCAGGTGCCAGTCCACAAGTACACATGGCTGATTGGCCAATCTTAAATTTGTTGTACATGTGGGAGCGAAGTCGATTGTGCCCTGTTCTAAGGCGAAGGATAATGACTTGCTCTGGTCTGTCCATAATATGGTAATCATCTTGTGCCAGTTTCGGTGGCATTCTGATTGATTTGATCATTCTCTTCTTCTGTTGATAAGAGACTGGTATGTCAGGTTGTTCTTCAGTTGCACCTTCCTTAGCTAGTTTATCAGCTCTTTTGTTTCCGGGAACTCCCACAGTGGGAAGGTATCCACTGCATTACTAATTTACAGCAGTTGCCTAGTTCGGATAATAGTGTCCATATGCTTGGTAATTTTCCAGACTAGAGTGACTGAAGTACTGCTTTTGCATCTGTCAGGAATACCACTGGTTGTGAAAAATACCCTATATTTAGTAGTTTCTCTACCGCTATCTTGATGGCTTGAACTTCTGCATCATAGTTGTGACAGTGCTTTCCCATTGGTAATTTGGCTGTATCCCTGGTATTATTAGGATACTCAATGTACACTCCTGCACCTCCGTTTCTGACTGCGCTTTCTGCTGACCCATCTGTGTAAACACGGACCCAAAGGTTCTTCGGGTATTCATCATCAAGTAGACTGAGGGTGGCTGTTTTGCGCTGCACACTGTTTTGTTCTTCCTTGTCAAATACCCCTTTCACTTCAGTCTTGATGTGTATTGGAAACTTATACTCCTCTCTCCAGGGGGTCCGTTCTGGGACAGCATTTAAGGATCTATCAGTTGCAGGTAAATCAGTGGTTTGTCTGCCGAGCCGTTTGGCCTGGTGGATAAAACTACTTCTCTTTAGTCGTCCCAAAGCTAAATTTTTGAATCTTTCATTCATAGGGTGACTGGGCATACTAAGAAACTTTTCTGCTTGTAAAAGCATCTTGGTGTCTCTGCGTTCACTCAGTGCTTGGGTCATCCCCATTTTCTCCATCACAGCTATAGGTGTTGATTTCATACTGCCTGTGGTAACTCTGAGTGCTTGATTTTGCACTTTATCTAATTCGTTTGTCGAACTCTTGTGGGAAGTAAAATAGTTGTTTTAAGTTATACGATATAGTTATGTCTTCCCTTGTCTGGTTGAGTTTATTGCTGTTGTTGTTAAAGACTTCTAAAAGTATGATTTCCTTTCCTACACTACAAACTATCCATCATAGAATAGAAAACATCATACCAGTCCTACGTGCACAAGGATTTTGATAGAGGTAACCTGTGAAAAGTAGTTACTGGTTTAACGGCCCGACTTTTAGCCGAAACATTCTACAACTTCAGTTTCTATATTGCATCTGCAGGAATATCTGAGGGTTGGTAATGTACATTCCTATACGTGTCTCAAATTTTCTGACTGCATCTTTACAAATAACTTTAAACCTCCTTATTGTGATTTCGTTATTAGTAATGTTTTTTTTTTTTTTAAAGAAGACTTTAGATAATTTATAAAACAGAAAATTGATTGTAAATCCTGAGAGCTAGAGTAGTTTGCCAAGTAAATGATAAATGTTTAGATGACCTTTTCAGTGGCCATCGTTGCAGAACCAACTTCAGCATTTTTTTGGCTGTCGTGGTTTTTCTAGGCAAATTTACATTAATTAGTTTGCAGTAGCTTTCTGGACAGTTGGCTCTTGATACCACTCCCAAAACCAACGCAAGATGGTCTGCTGCAAAATCATCTGCAGCTGGAATCGGACCTGGTTCTCTGGTATTATGAAATGTGTTCACAGTGTCTCAGCCCCAAAAGCCACTGATTATGATTAGGTAACAACATCTTGCATAGAGGAGGAAGAAGATAAAGAAGAATAAAAGAAAAAGAAGATGAAGAAGAAGAAGAAGAAAAAGAAGTAGAAGAAAATGTTGAAGAAGAAGAAGGAGACGGAGAAGAAAAAGAAGGAGAAGCATCTTCTGTAAACTATGGTAATATAATTTTTTTTATACGAAGCTTAGTATTGTAATGAGTTAACGCTGTTTCACAATTACCTCACTTGTTTCAGAAACCCGAGTAAAGATTTGTGGTCACTGACTGTTTTGACCTTCCTAAGGATGGCGCGGAACAATAAACTGAAGGCATTTTGGACAAAGTACAAACTCACAGCCCGCCTGAAGCCTCTTATAGTTGTTTGTCTGGTTGTCCTGTTTGTGACGCCACTGAGAAACTTTTTACTGCCCTGGTGGCCTCACATACTGAAACAGCTGAGCACTTTAAAGGTAGGTTATGTAGTACTTTGTAGCTGGACTTGTGTATTGGAGTCCACATGTAGCAATGACATTACCTAAATCTGATTCTTATTCCTTTAAAGAAAAAATTTAAAGTTCGACCACTATCAGTCCTAAATCTGATCAGATTGACCCATTTACCTACAATTAAAACCCATATCATCCGCAGTTAGGTGTTCCACTTTATCCTGTTGCTTTGTTAGCATAGAAGCGTGATTGGTGAAGGGTGTATTTTTTGCCCTAAAATATATTTCTGGTTTTACGTTAGTCTATCTTTTTTTTTTTTTTTTTTTCAAATGCAAAATAGCAAGACAATTTGTTAATTAAAGTTGATGAAGAATTACTGGAGATTCTTTCAAGGAGTAATAGAAAGTAATGATCACTTTGAAATGTGTGAGTTATGAGTAGGGTTATGTTTATGGCACGCCGGTGGACGTGTACTTCTGGCCGTGGGCAAGACTGACCATCTGACCCAGCCATCTACTTTGACTGGATTGAAATGGATCCCCAGTGATCATGAAGAAGATTTGGTCGTGTATTGACATGATTATTAAAATAAAATTAATGCTTCTTGTAAACTATACAACAGACATGAATGTGTCTGTCTGTCAAAGTGTACAATACTGGTCTTATTTTCAGTTCTTATTTTCATATGCATTTCTAGTGTAGTTGGTATCACTTCAGCTTTATAATCGAAAGGTCCTGTGATCAACCCCAACATGACTTTTTTTTTAAATGTAAATTTTAAATTTCAGCTCTTAGTTTCGGCAGCGCATCACCAAAATATTAATTATTTGTTTAATAGATTAAATTTAAAAAAAGTAATGACACAAAGAATACAATGAATTATGACTAAAGTGGTAGATTTATGGAGGATCAGAATGGGGAAATGGGGGGGAGGGGGGGGGGGGAATTGCTGACAGTACGAATTGTAATTCCCGAGTCACGGCCTAGGGTAAAGTGCTAGGATTTTCCTAGACCAGTTCTTCCGTATCCCCCCCTTTTTTTTCCCCCCTGGTGGGGGGGGGGGGGGGGGCATAGATTTGTCTTTTAAGTTTGTGGTGTGTTGGAAGGACCAGGGGACTGTAAGAGCCTCAAACGCACTCGGGGCAATGACTAAACACATGGCAACTGTTAAGACAACGATTAAGTAGAAGCAGGAAGAATAAAAATTGTCTGGCAGTATTTACCTGCAAGGAATGTAAAGTAGTTGAAACATTCAAAGAATGTTCCAGCTGATGATTGGAAGGCTATTGTTGTGTTCCCTCCACCGTGGTGTTTCTTTCTACTACATATGTGGTAGCAGTAGAGACAAAGATAGACTTAGCCGAGGATACATTTTCTTTCACTATCCCAAGTGAAGACTGGCAAATAAGTCTAGTTTCTAGTGTTTCATTCACTCACTCAGTCACTCACTCTCTCACTTACTCTCTCACTCAATCTCTCACTCTGTCACTGTCTCACTTACTCACTCAGTCTCTCTCTCTCTATCTCTCTCTCTCTCTCTCTCTCTCTCTCTCTCTCTCTCTCTCTCTCTCTCTCTCTCTCTCTCTCTCTCTCTCTCTCTCTCTCTCTTAGTTTGTCCAGTGTGCCACATACACCTGTATGTTTGTGCATTGTAATGTTATCAAAAACGTTATTATCACAAATTATATAACTGCACACTGGGTCATCCTCAGTGTAGATTGTATGTTATCATCACAGTTGATATCACTGCACATTGGGTCATCCTCAGTGTAGATTGTATGTTATCATCACAGTTGATATCACTGCACATTGGGTCATCCTCAGTGTAGATTGTATGTTATGTTATCACAGACGATATCACTGCACACTGGGTCATCCTCAGTATAGATTGTATGTTATTTTCACAGACAATATCACTCCATATTGGACATCTCCAGTACAGATTATATGTTATGTTATATATAATACCAATCTTGGCTCACAGTATTTGGTAATGCTGACATGCAAAATCAGTACTTGAAGCACTCCAGTCTAGGAAACTACCTGCTGACACAACTTAGCCTTCAGCGAAGAGTTGTAATGCAGTGAATACCATCACATTGTGGAGTGCCTGGAAATGAGAAAGCTGATCAACTGGCAGGAGAAGGTGCGACAAAAGTGCAGCCGGATGTACCAGTCACATACCACCAAAAGAAAAGAATCATTAAATCAATCATAAAACCACCAGCCCCAGCACAAGACGACTATTTTATTATGGACAGATCAGAACAAGTCATTATCCTCCGCCTCAGAACAGGGCACAACCGATTACGTAACCACATGTACACGAAATTCAAGATAGGCGTATCAGCCATGTGCACCTGTGGAAATGTGCCCCAGACAACAGAGCATGTACTCCAGGACTGCACCGAATTTGACACATTAAGGCAAACCTTTTGGCCAGAAAGAACAACAGTGGAACTTAAACTCTATGGACCACTGAATAAATTAATAACAACAGTAAAATTTTTACAAGAGACAAAATTGCTGATATAGACAACTTATTTCAGGCGAACAAAAGAAGAAGAAGAAGAATGTTATGCTATTACACATGATAGATTGTATGATGTAACTAATATATTCAGCTGTATTTAGGTAGATTTATCTGAGATGATTAAGGGAACTGATTTGTTTTCCTTTCTTAGGATGCTTGCAGGTTGAACTCATAAAATGCCAAACAACTGATCACTCCTTAATTATGTGCTTCTGCTCCTTAACTCTTTACTGCTCATCCAGTTCTTACTTCTTCTGCTGCCTTCTTTCCCCCAGTGGAGCATAGGCATTCATCAGCTCATGCCAGCTTGCTTTAGCCTTCGCTTATTGCATGCAACTCACCCTGTGTCCTTCGCATCTTTTTAACTCAACTCTCAGCCCCTTCTCCGTTTTTTTTAATGGGGTCTGCCTTTATTTCTCTGCCCCTGTGGGTTCCAGTGCAAAGACATTCCAGATATAATGTTCTCAGGTTTTCTCAGTTCGTGTCCTATCCAGTGTCAGCATATTATATTCACTGCTTGATCCTCTTCTCCTTAACTCTTTATTGTTCATCCAGCTCTTACATGAACTTATTATATCCTGGTTTTTCTTTATTCATTTTGCCTGGTGGTGTTATTATGTGAAACCTTTCAGATTCCAGGCATGTTATACTGTTCATAACAAATGGTTAGGTTAGAATAAGCCACATCAACACTGGCTTGGCACAGAAAGAGCTATACTTGAAGACATTATGACTTTGTCAGGGTGTCCCATGAGTTTACATACATAGCAAGAATAAACACATCAGACATTGTGACTTTGTCAGGGTGTCTCATGAGTTTCCATACATAGAAAGAATAAACAAAAACATATAACCAAGACATTGTGACTCTGTCAGGGTGTCCCATGAGTTTACATACATAGGAAGAATAAACACATCAGACATTGTGACTCTGTCAGGGTGTCCCATGAGTTTACATACATAGGAAGAGTAAACACATCAGACATTGTGACTTTGTCAGGGTGTCCCATGAGTTTACATCACATAGGAAGAGTAAACACATCAGACATTGTGACTCTGTCAGGGTGTCCCATGAGTTTACATCACATAGGAAGAGTAAACACATCAGACATTGTGACTTTGTCAGGGTGTCCTATGAGTTTACATACATAGGAAGAATAAACACATCAGACATTGTGACTCTGTCAGGGTGTCCCGTTGAGTTTACATCACATAGGAAGAGTAAACACATCAGACATTATGACTCTGTCAGGGTGTCCAATGAGTTTACATACCTAGAAAGAATTAACACAAATACATCACCAAGACATTGTGACTTTATCAGGGTGTCCCATAAGTTTGTCACAGGTCTTACTTCTTACTAAGTTTATGTGTATTTTCTAGCAGTGGAAGACACCCATCAGGGTGTCCCATAAGTTTATCACAGGTCTTACTTCTTACTAAGTTTATGTGTATTTTCTAGCAGTGGAAGACACCCATCAGGGTGTCCCATAAGTTTATCACAGGTCTTACTTCTTACTAAGTTTATGTGTATTTTCTAGCAGTGGAAGACACCCATCAGGGTGTCCCATAAGTTTGTCACCTGTCTTACTTCTTACTAAGTTTATGTGTATTTTCTAGCAGTGGAAGACACCCATCAGGGTGTCCCATAAGTTTATCACAGGTCTTACTTCTTACTAAGTTTATGTGTATTTTCTAGCAGAGGAAGACACCCATCAGGGTGTCCTATAAGTTTATCACAGGTCTTACTTCTTACTAAGTTTATGTGTATTTTCCAGCAGAGGAAAACACCCATCAGAATGTGTTTGAAGGCAATGGCAGTCATAAAGAGCATATATATATATAAAAAAAAATGTTTAAAATAATAAAGATTCTTTTTTCTTCTATGTGTGGCAACTTTTGGGACACTCTGTACAGAAATACTTGCTATTTTTACCCGTCATGTTCAATAACAATGTATTATGATCTCGACAGGTTATACAAATCCACCTGGTTGATCTGTTCTACTATGTTGATCGAAGCCCATATAAAGGGTCATGTGAGTTTGTTCATTCGCATCTGGCATCGGTGAAGATGCCGAAGCTGAAAGACATGCCAGTGTATGACATGAATGACTGGATCCAGCAGGTGGTTAAAATCAAACCCAACCTGGATGATGGTTCGCTGTTGATCCTGGACAACTACAAACCGTCCTTGTCAATCAAGGAACAGCGGGAGTTGCTGTTCACCATGCTGTCGGTCACTCAAGCTCTGGCAGCTTTCAACATCACGTATTTTATTTCCGAGGGTACGCTGATCGGGTACTGGCGACACCATGGCTTGATTCCCTGGGATGATGATGCTGACATTTTGTTTGACAGTGACAAGTGGCCGCTGGCTAAGCAGGTGTTGTCTTGTTTACCTGACCTGGGCTTATACATGGGATCTGATTACATGTGGAAGGTCTTTCACAAAGAGGCAGACAACTGGCTCGGAGAGCAGCAGATTCGATTTCCATATGTTGACCTCTTTATGTACAAACATGATAATTATCATCTCTGGCCAGTGTGCATTTGGATGAAGACTGAAATCATAGTGCCCTTAGACTGGGCTCTTCCGGTTGCTGCGGGGGTCTTTGAAGGCTATCCGGTATCCATTCCCAGAAAAACTGTGGAAGTTTTAGACCTAAAGTTTGGTCGTGTTGACTCTGATTGCTATTCTCGCACGTTTTCACGCCGTGAGCGTCAGATGCTACCAGTGGAAGAGAGAACGCACATGCCATGTTCTGTACTCAAGCCGATCTATCCGTTTGTTGCCAGGAACAGGGTGGATAAGGTCAGGGGTACAGTGATTGAAGAAAGAATTCTCGGCTCAACTGTTTTATCCACATTTAACACAACCTATTACGGAACACTGGAATAACTATTAGCATCCTAAAAAATATAAATATAAATAAAGCATCTTTCTTTATGGCACATGATGATCATTATATAATTGATAATTACTGTACCTAAACAAATTTGTCAACCAGTCTCAATGAATGAGTTATTGACCCTTCCCCATGAATCCCAACCATTGTGTAATGTGTTCTCTTACATTTTACATTTGGTTAGAGCATGCTGAAGAAATCTTTGGCTTTCTCAGTGCCCATTTCCACTGTAGATCCAGGGTCTTTGAAATTTAAGTATTCATGATTATTCATAGTGGTTATTTTCTCCAATGAGCATTTGCTGTAAGGTCTTTCTGGAACCCAGAGAGTTTACAATCTCTGCCATAATTATTTAAATGTGCATTAGTTTTGTTTCATTTCTTGTCTTCACATTTTTTTTTATAAAAGTGTGCTGCCAAATTGGGCATTGTTTGAAATATGTGCAACACATGTATGTTACCAAAGTTGTCTCAAAATGATGCAGATGTTATACACATATATAATGACTTACCTAGCCAAATTTGAGAAGAGAATCTGCCCTATTTGGCACTTCTTTAAAAAAAAATTATTGTTACCAAAGTTTTCTAAATCTTTTGACTTATCTAGCCAGATTGTGGAAAACGAACTGCCAGATTTAGCAGGACTGTTAAAATATGTGCAACATCATTCTGTTACCAAAGTTTTCTAAATCTTTTGACTTATCTAGCCAGATTGTGGAAAACGAACTGCCAGATTTAGCAGGACTGTTAAAATATGTGCAACATCATTCTGTTACCAAAGTTTTCTAAATCTTTTGACTTATCTAGCCAGATTGTGGAAAACGAACTGCCAGATTTAGCAGGACTGTTAAAATATGTGCAACATCATTCTGTTACCAAAGTTTTCTAAATCTTTTGACTTATCTAGCCAGATTGTGGAAAACGAACTGCCAGATTAAGCAGGACTGTTAAAATATGTGCAACATCATTCTGTTACCAAAGTTTTCTAAATCTTTTGACTTATCTAGCCAGATTGTGGAAAACGAACTGCCAGATTTAGCAGGACTGTTAAAATATGTGCAACATCATTCTGTTACCAAAGTTTTCTAAATCTTTTGACTTATCTAGCCAGATTGTGGAAACGAACTGCCAGATTTAGCAGGACTGTTAAAATATGTGCAACATCATTCTGTTACCAAAGTTTTCTAAATCTTTTGACTTATCTAGCCAGATTGTGGAAAACGAACTGCCAGATTTAGCAGGACTGTTAAAATATGTGCAACATCATTCTGTTACCAAAGTTTTCTAAATCTTTTGACTTACCTAGCCAGATTGTGGAAAACGAACTGCCAGATTTAGCAGGACTGTTAAAATATGTGCAACATCATTCTGTTACCAAAGTTTTATACCATGATGCAGACCCTGTACATATTATCTGTTGACAGAACCACTTTTATATTTGTGTGTGATCTTAATCTGAGATATCTTTTATGTGATTTGTTTATGTTATCTTTACCTTTGAACATGACTTACTATACAAGAACAAATATATCATTTTATTTTCTTAAAGCACATTAGATCAGAGAGCTGAGCTCAGATTGCACTGTTGCTGTATTCAAGCTGCTTATATTAACTATAATTTATAATGTCTGATTGTTTTGTTAACTAGTTTGAGTATTTAATTGTATTTTCTTCTTCTCCTGCTTACCCTTTTCTTCTTCCTCTTCTGCATGGGACTGCTTTAGCATAGGATGCTCGCTTTCAAATCCAGCTGCGACTCGCTGCAGCCACAGTCGGTGTCGAAACGGGGTGGTTTCCATTGTTGAAACAGCCCCTAGGAAATGTGTACCAGAGTGACACTTTGGGGTAAATGGAGGAACGTCGCTGTAGCTACAGAGTTACGTGCGGACGGCGATACAGGTGGACAGTTTCTTATCAGTGTCTGTACTGGTGCCAGAGCACTTATGGTTTATAACTGTATGCAATGACGCTGGTTCACATCTCCCGACTTTAGTGTTACCTTTTCATCTTCTGCATTTATTCCTAAAAGGACATTTGGCACTTTATGGTTTTCAGCTAGGCTTAGATATCAGCACCTTTCAGCCTAACACATCCGATTTCAGCACACCCTAAATTACCATATTTTCCTGTGTATAAGATTATGTGTTTCCCCAAATTTGTAAAGTTTCAAATTGGGGGGTCGTGTTATGCATAGAATGTGTTGAAAATATTTATTTCTTAAATGCTTGAAACAGAAAAAATAGTTGTTGTCATATGCATACGGGAAAAAGTATATTGTAATCTTTTAAGACATGCTTGTTGGGGGAGCTGTTTGTTTGTCCCCCCCCCACCCCCACCCCCACCCCCCCCCACCCCGCCCAAATGGGGCACAGAACCCATACAGAAAATTCTAGAATTTGAAAATGGTACCATTTTTTTAAAAGGACTCCCCCCCCCCCCCCCCCCCCCCCTTCTCTACTGGTTGAGGAAAATAATTATGTATTCTGTCTTTTGTCCTTTCTCCTTGTGAGTTCCACACAGGCCCCATTATGGGAGGAGAAAAGAATAGACCCACTGTCCTTGTGACAAACGTGTTGTAAGAGTAGATTAAGGAGATTTCCTCTGCTTAAGTGGTGAGGAACCAACAGTCTGCATAAAGATAAGCCAGATCTGTAAAATTGCTGTTCATGCAAAAGTCAGTTCTGGAACAAGGCCTTAAGTCCAGAAGTGGATGAACAACCAGAACTTTCTGCAAGAGTTTGCAGCCAATGAATGTGAAGAAGATGACGAAGAAAAAGATGATCCTGTCTCTGGGAAAAATTGACCCAACTTTCGGACAATATAGTTTTATATTTATTTTTATTTAGAAAGCTCCTGATTTATATTTCTCATTTTATGACAACACAGTGTTCATATTTGTCACTTTTGGACAAGACAGTGTTCATATTTCTCACTTTTGGACAAGACAGTTCATATTTGTCACTTTTGGACAAGACAGTATTCATATTTCTCACTTTTGGACAAGACAGTGTTCATATTTCTCACTTTTGGACAAGACAGTATTCATATTTCTCACTTTTGGACAAGACAGTATTCATATTTCTCACTTTTGGACAAGACAGTATTCATATTTCTCACTTTTGGACAAGACAGTATTCATATTTCTCACTTTTGGACAAGACTGTTCATATTTCTCACATTTGGACAACACACTGTTCATATTTCTCACATTTGGACAACACACTGTTCATATTTCTCACATTTGGACAACACACTGTTCATATTTCTCACATTTGGACAACACACTGTTCATATTTCTCACATTTGGAATCACAGTGATGATATTTCTATTTTAGACTACAAGAAGAATGGGAGTCGGATAGTTTACCTGGGTTTCAGTTATTAAACATAGGGGGTTTTACATGTCCCACCTGGGTATTCATGTTGTTTACATGTCCCACCTGGGTAATCAGAATATTTGTGTGTTCTATTTGCGAGATAACATAATTCACTTATACTTTGTTTGGGTAGCACAGAGTAAACATATAACTAATGTGGTAGCACAATATGCACATGTCTCTCTTGTGGTAGTACAGTGTTCACTTCTCTCTTGTGGTAGCACAGTGTTCATTTGACTGTCTTGTAGCACAGTGTTTTTGACTGTCTTGTGGTAGCACAGTGTTCATTTGACTGTCTTGTGGCAGCACAGTGTTCATTCGACTGTCTTGTGATAGCACAGTGTTCATTCGACTGTCTTGTGGTAGCACAGTGTTCATTTGACTGTCTTGTGGTAGCACAATGTTCATTTGACTGTCTTGTGGTAGCACAGTGCTCATTTGACTGTCTTGTGGTAGCCAGTGTTAACACATCTCTTATGGTAGCACAATGTTCATGGCACTCTCTTGTGTCAGCACAATATTGACCTTTCTGTCTTGTCGTAGCACAATATTCACATGACTGTCTTGTGGTAGCACAATATCTCCTTGTCTCTATAAAGTTCAGTGCATTGTGTTTAAGTACAACTAATGTCTCTCTAATGCAAGAAAAAAAAATTGTTCTTCTATGCATTCTGAATTTTTAAAGGATCTTGTGATCTTCATTATGCTTTTATGAATACCTGTGCGTATGTATGATAGAATTTATCAGTATCATCATAACATGTGTGTGTGCGTTCACGCATGGGCATGCGTGTGCACCTGCGTATGATATATCAGTATCATCATAACATTTGTATTTGGGTGCATGGGAAACTGTATTTTGGGCATTAGGATAGCTTACATTTGTTGGTGTTTGAATGTTGATATATTTATATTTATGGGTGTTTTGGGAAGGTAAGTGGCCGGATCATCACTGGCAGAGAGACTTTCTCTGATGATCTGAAGCCAGGTGTTTTAGTGTTATCTGTGTATTTATGGGTGTTTGTACTTTAGTGGGAAGTTATGGGGTCGAATCATTACTGGCAGAGAGCCTTCTTTTGATTTTCTGATAGCCTGCTTTATTGCTTGTTCCATGGGCCAGATATGATTAAAACCCTGGAGGTTAGCTACTTGCTTCTACTTCTTCGTCTTCTGCTTCTTCTTCATCTGCTTCTGCTTCTTCATCTTCTTCTTCTTCTCCTTCTTCTTCTTCTTCATCATCTTCTTCATCTTCTTCTTCTTCTGTATTCACCATGAAATAGGTGTATGTTGCATTTTGTTGTGGCCTACAGGATGCACGCCTACGGTATGCTTATTCTGGAGGCAGTGGGTGTATGCTTGTTTCCTCCACAGTGGGACCCCAGAACCCACACAGGGAAACAGTTTATACAATTTAACATGAGATAATAATTTATATATAGAATTAGAAGGTTGAGTAAAAGAAAAGATGGGAAGGAACACACGCAAGCCAACAGATGAGACAACTTGGCACAAGCTGGCTAAGGGCCTATTCTCTACTGAATGTTGAATTAAGAATTGACATCACAGCACTCGGGACACCCCTATAAGCGCTACATCCCTATCTTCAGCAGGAAATGA